GCACGCACGCACGCACGCACGCACACACGCGCGCGCACGCACGCACGCACGCACGCACGCACACACACGACTTGTAAACCTATACCTGTTAGTCTGGCACTCAAAACGCGTCAGCCACCCGTCAGTCGGTCAAGCGGAGTAAATATTATTTTAAATCATGACGTCATACATTACACGCGAAGTGTGCATAGTCTCATAGTCTGCATGACTGACGGGAGGCGGAACTTGATATAGACTCGTGTAGATTGCGTGAGTCGTGACTTACTCCCAGTCAAATATTTACATATTTTTTGGTAATTTTTATATTCTCTATATTTTTTCCTGTCCCTTGCAACGCTGAATACCTTGCTCAACAAAGAGATAATATAGAGAAAAGGCCACAATTTCAAAATGGAAAAACTATGCATGCATTAGAATGTAGTCACTTAAAAGATAGAGGGTGATAAGAAGCTACAAACTACATTCGCAGAGCTTTCCTATTACAGTACCCCGCCCCTCTAAAAGTGATTACGTCACAAATTTTCTATGGTAAAATTTGTAAAATTTTTGTTGCCATTTTTTTACATTAAACGTAAGAACTAATGGGACTAAACGTATCGTCAAATTCTTACCTGATAAGATTGTTTCTCAACTAGTTAATAAATACTCTTAAATACTCAGTAAATATATCGTGTGCATATCAGTATTGTGAATCACGATGAGATGAGAAGCAAAGACGATAAACACAACAGAGTAATTAGATACCAATTAGCAAAGCTGTTTTTACGAGTACTTACTTTTAGCAGGAAGTAAATAAATATCGCCGTTGACTTCTGATCACGCAGCGATAAAGACTGGAAAAAAAGAGAAAAACATTCGCTATTATATTCTCACTAAAGGCAAATAGTGGGCGAGGAAAGGGTGAATATAGCTGGAATGAGGCAAGGCAAGGCAAGGCAAGTGAGAACGAAGAAGACGTGTAATATAGAACAGGAGTAAGCCGATCTGCATACAAAATGAAAAACTACTACTAAACTAATAACTCATCACTCATCAATCATTGCACTGTCGTGTAGCATCCCCTGACACCATCAACCGTGTAACACATGACCATCACATAGCTTACGGATTATTCAAGCGCGTGTTCGCTGAACGAAGAGCAGAGAGAGAATGCAGCGATGGCACGCAGCACCGTAGCTCTAGTACGATAGTCCGCGTACAGTTGCCAGTTTGCCACAGCGCCTGCCTGCGGCAACTGTACACGGGCTATCGTTCTATAGAGCTAGCTGCACCTCAGACAGACACAGCACGACTCCGCTATCTATAATCACAGTTGCTAATGCGGTATAGCATGTAAAGCATGTCAGTCGGGTATACCTATATTACAAGCACGTCACTGGGGGCGAAGAAACGTCTCAAACCTTGGAGGGCAATCACGCTGGTTGATTACATGCAGATAGAGAGAGAGAGAGAGAGAGAGAGAGAGAGAGAGAGAGAGAGAGAG